GCATGAAGAACGCCGTCTCTAAGCTACAGCTGAAATGAGTCACTTTCCAAATCTGAGGAACAAATGAGAAGGATAACGCTGCTACTTGGAAAAAAAAAAAAAGGCAAATTCTGTCCAATTAGAATCAACCAGTCTCACTACACTATAAATAGGTTTAGTATTTATTCTTTGAGCATTCAAAAATAAGCAATCATTCAAGCCCCGGGATTATTAGAAAATTAAAACGTGGGAGAGGAGAATGCTTTCTTTGGCCAATCAAGGCTACACATTCAGCAAAGCCGCGTGACAAATGGTACTGTTACAGAACAGAACATTGCATGTATTGCTGCCTTACTAGGTAGTTCTCCACAGGGAGCCCTTCTGCAGACTTTGCACCATTTGCAGGCTGGTTGTTGTCCCCAGAACCTGGATCAAACACAGACACAGGAGGGGAGCCATTTAGGCCAGCAGTTCAACATTTTTCAATCCTGACTCTTTGAAGTGGAGCAATTCCTACTCGTGACACCAACACCTGCCCCCAGTATGCACAGGCAGGGTGAAAAGCAGTGGTGATGAGGTGTATTTTTTTCTACTTTACCAGTTGTTTTCTTTGATTACAGTCGTTTCTGATTGCTTAGGTAATAACTTTGCAATAATAGCTGGAAGGCTCAAAGCTCTAATGCACTAACTGCAGAATATTACATCAAGCCAGTAAAACTATTTTTGAGACACTCTTGTAAAAATTGAATTTATACGTTAAACCCAAACCATCATTTAAAGAACCTCTACACACTGATGTAGTGAAACACACACTTTATGTTTTCTGTGTGCAAGGCAGAGCAGCTCGCATTAATCAACTGACATGTGTGTGTAAATACCCATGTTTGCATCTTTGGAACCTTACTTACCTTTATTTCTGCACACAATCAACAGAAATAAAGGTTAAAAAAAAAAAATAAAAAAAATATATATATATATATATAAATAAATAAAATTTTGCATTTTAAATATGCAAACACTCCTCAAAAGACATTAGCGGTAGAACAAAACATTTCCAAGGAAAAATACAAGAAAGCCAGCCAAATGTCATTCTCTTTGTCAATCCAGACTCACAACTTTATCCACATCTCATGGAAAGCATCAAATGAGTGCAAAGCAATCACTTTACAAACTGCCTGTAAAGCAGAGAAAGCACATTCAGTTTGCCAAACTTGGTAAATGCACTTGCTACAAAAGTTAGTATTTTCAGGTATACTCCGATCCTAATGTGGATATGCGATTGAGAAAAGGAATGGATGTGAAGGCACCTGGTGCAGTTGTATGGCTTTCTCCATGGTACTCCGTCCCCATTATCACAGGCTTCAGGGTTTCAGCAGCAGTTTCCTAAGAAAGACAAACACCCAGTCAGAGAACAATCCAATGCTGTGCAAAATATTAAGCCACGAATCAGGGTGCAGTCATTTACTGCAATGTACAAACACACATTATATAAAACCAAAAAGCAGTCTTCTTGAAGGACATTCAAAGCTCTTCTTTGGGTGTTGGCTGCCTTTTGTTTTGTTCTCTGTCCACATGATACCACGCTGCTTTAAAAATGTTGAAGTCTGGACTCTGTGGAGGCCAATTCATAGCTGAGTGTTCCACTGTTTTTCTATGCAAATATGCCTTTACTGCACCATCAGTGTGTTTGGGATTACTGCTGTTTTGATGAGACCCATAAAATTTTACATTTGGATTTATCACTCCATAAGACTTGCTGCCATAAGTTTCAGTCCAGTTCTTGTGTAATCCAGCATATCTCGACCTTTTCTCTGCGTTTCCATCTCTTAAGAATGGCCTCTTGACAGCTACCCTTTCACTGAGGCCATTTCTGATGAGGCTTCAGTGATCAAGTGAAGAAAGAGATGCTTTCAGGTCCTGTGTCAGGATACACTGCACACCATGTCAAGATCTGCCAAATTTTTCCCCTAATAGCTCTCTGGAAATCATGTTGTTGATGCAATAATGATTAAGTGTTAAGTGGCTTAACAAATAATCAAAAAAAGAAAATCATTAAATTACAAAAACTGGACTGAAAATGAGTGAAAAAGCAGCCAGCGTCTGAAAGAGCTTCAGAAAGCTTGAAAATTTTTTAAGACCACTTGAAAATCAAAGAAACCTCACAGGTGTTTCATTTTCAACACCAATTTTGATATTTAGTGAATTAAAAATCTAATATTACAATGTATTTTTTTCTTTCAGACTTATGAAGCATAACTAAATTTCCCACAACATGTGTTATTTGTAGTTATGGACGAGTCCTTACTGAGAAAATATGGCAACATAACCCACAACTTTTAAAGATAAAACAAGATTCTTTCTTCTATCTATCTCGTTACTGGAATAATAACAATAATGAGTGACTGAGCATCACCCTCTTTAACAGGCTCACAAATGAGAAGATCTTATAATAGTTTGCCTTCCTGAATACTAGTCAAATCAGAAAGATCAAGACAGACTTAGTACAGAAACCAAACTTCATATTTAGGTAACCAAAAGAAAATAAACTGAGACCAGTAATTTTGTTTTTTTTAATAAAGCATTTTGCTTAAAGCCTGTGTATTCCAGTGCTCTATACAGAGCGATGATACCTCAGGAGTTAGGATGGTCCAGCTGTTATTAGCACTCCCAGTGCCAGACATGGCCCCCAAGAGACTTTGCGTGTCTCTCCTGCAACAAAGAACAACATAGAGAACAATGTGAAGAGCGTATATACGTACACCCTGAATCAAAGCCATGCATATTTTACAGTTTGACTTACAGAAGAGACAACTAACAATGTGCCACTAGCTTACAATTACAGTAACAACATGAGGACTGCAGCTTTAAGAAATTTACGCTCATTGTTTACCCGATTTGAATACAAGCCTCTACTACTCAGCCTCACCCATTTTGCCAATAAAGGTCTGACTGTAATGTGTTACTGAGGTCTTTGTGCGAGTGTGTGCATTTTGTATGTGAGCAGGAAGTCTAATTCCCTGGGAGCATTCAGTTCTTCATTAGTAGTTTATGTGTGCTATGAGCCTTTTGGCCAGCCTGGCTTTTGACTAGCTGGGAAATGTTTTGGCAGAGACATGGGTAACTAAGCCCGGCACTACAATGGGCTGTCCATTTCAAAGGTACTGGTCTCTTAAACAGAGGTCTACAAATGAACACATTTGTGGTGTACACTATCTGCCCACTGCTTTGGAATCACTTATTTTACAGTAAAATCATTCATCTTAGCTGCCACCACAGTAGTTGAGAAAATCATCTCCCATGTAACCACTTCAGTGTCACCCCCTTGTTAGGTGGAAGTGTCAGGTATTAGATTTTTATAAAGCTTTTCCTTTCAAATTACACAAGGTAGCATAACAGCGAGACATATTTATATGCATCCAGTCTAGTTTTGTATGAATTCTGAAAGAACGAGGCACTTAAGTTAATACCACACTGTCTGGGTAATGACACACTTCACTCCCCAAATTCAATTCTCTCCCAGCTCTGCTATTTAGGTCTCCTAATCGAGTGCCTCCCAAGAGAAGCCTACTGAATCTAGCCTGGGGCCCAAGGAGCATTGTGGAGGATATAGTGGAATGGTTTAAATAGATGCCAGCTAAATATAGCTACCATGAGATTGACTAGAGACAGACAGAGGGAGCATGCAGGAGATGGCCATGGGGAATAAAATAGAGGCAGAAATGTATTCTAAGGACAGTTTTAAAAAGGATTATTTTACATGCAACACAAGGGAGGGAGAAAAAAAATAACATCCTGTTCTGATCTTATTCACTGATCGGTACGAATAGCATTTAATTTAAGATCTAGCTGTAGGAGTCGGTGCAAGATCATACTTTCACAGTGCATGCGTCTAATCTCAGTTTATCTCTTCAGACATTAATCTGCATGTGTGTGATATCTTCCAGAGACTAGACTGTTAATCTTTTTTCTTTTTCTTTTTTGCATCGTCTTTGCCTCTGCATGGAAAAATTACCAAAAAAGGTCAAGAGATAAACTACAAGACTTTCCATGAGGACAGCCAACGCTGGGCTGCGAGCTAAAGCCAGCTCTACACAGCATCACCGCTAAAAGCAGACCGCTCTTATCACTATGCAAAAAGGGTCGGGGTTAGTTGGAAGAAGTTCATAACCTGCGACAGGAAATGTCACACGGCCTTAAAGAAGACAACAACATCTGGTTAAACTCAGGAATATCACTTCTCACATGAGGTGAGGGCCGCTGTTAGTAGGCTACTAAAGGCTTCACAAGCCGAAAGTTGTTGAGATTAGTCCTTAAAAAAACGTTTCCACTTCAACGACGTCTGCCGAGCAACCAGGAAAACGTGAACGTTTGCGACACAGAGGGAGAAGAAACGACACTAGAAAAGACGTCGTTATCTTGTAATACAACCAAAAATACAGGTGGGTCTTACCGTGGTCTGTCACTTTACTTTAGACTTCAGAGGACGCCACAGACGCAAGCTAGGACTTCTTTGATTCTTCCCATCAAACTTGACAACTTATAACGTGCCTCCAGAACTTACTGAGCCATGCTCTTCTCGCCCAATCACAAAACGCGTTTGCTCTAGTCCCGCCTCTCGCTCATCCAATAAGATATCGTTGTCGCTTCACTTCGGCTGGAAAGCTTCTAAGTTGATTGACATGTATATATGTATAAATATGTAAGTGATGGAGGCTGAATTAATGTAAAATTAATACTACAGGTTACTGCTACTGCTACCCTGACATTAGACAGGCTTGAGTTGATGGTTTCCATCATAAATAGAGCCTCCAGTTTAGCGATAATAATAATGCTCTTTTGCACACTCACTTAAGAAATACCAAGAGTCACATTAGATGCAAGCTAAAACTGTTTCATAGAAGCTATATTACTGACACTTAAGATCAAAGCATTTTTCTCCCTTTAAAGGTGTCTGTGCAGAATTACCTAATCATCAAATGACCAAAAGAAAAGAAGCAAAAATTCAGACATGTAGGTAATAATTTTTTCTGTTTATGAGTTCCTTTATTTATTGCCACACCACTTTGTGTTGTACAGTGAACATCAGGTGAGCCACAGTCCTGGGAATCTCAGATCATCAGGGTACAATTCAGAAAACTCTAACCCAGTCCGGATATAAAGTCTGTATCATCTTGAAACCTGCTGGCAAGCTTCCTCGAACCCCAAAAGACCTCCCTTCCTATAGAGACACCGAAAAACAAAAAGCAAAAAAATGTTAAAGGGTTGAGTGGTTTTATGATTTTGAAATTATTATTGATAGATTTATTAAACACTATAAATTAAAGCATGTAGTTTATACATAACAGTCATTCAAAACAAGTCATACCTGCCAAGGCTTTACCATATAACACTCCCATTTCTGATGAAATAAAAGCTGGTTGAAATTACAATACAGGACCCAGTGGAGAAACAAGGAAAAATCTGTGCTCTACCACTTGATGTACCCTTTTCTCTCAGTCTGTCAGTCCAGGATCTCTTTGATGCACCAGCAGCAGAGGAGGAAATAGAGGCATTCTTTAACCGACTGGATAAAACTGTAGGCAAAGTTTCCTCCCAGGAAGTTCTTGCCTCGTCCCAGGCCCATGGCCATGTCCCGCAGGTGCTGTCCCAGAGAGGCGGAAGGCATGGCCTGGGGAAGAGGACGCTGGGGGTGCATGGCTGTGCAGAGGGACCAGACAAATGCAACGAGGAGGGCAGTCGATGAGAAGAACTGGAAGATGAGCTGTGACAAATGGAGTCAGATGAGACCCATGCAACAGCTGAGCTCTGCTCCGTATTCCCGGCACTGTTCACTCCTCTACTTATAACCTCCTATACAAACTGCAAGCGCTCTCCACCCACATCTGGCATTTTCTGGACTGTCCTCTAGTTTCAAACGCCCGCTGACTGATTAAAGACCTTGTTTACCTTTGCTGTACTCAGTTCCCATGTGTCGTATGATGCCCCCCTGAATAAGCCCCTGCTGTTCCAGCCACAAACAAGAGAGTTCCAGTAGCTCCAACACATTCGCCACGACACCACACTCTTTGTTCGGGTCAGTGTACAACAAACGCTCATATTTTCTCGTAGTGTGTGCTTTGTTTCAGTCTCTGCTGAACTTTTTTGATGTACACAGAGGGAGGCACAGCAAAAGCCAAACTCACAAAGCCAGATAAGTGATATATGTATTTATATATGCAATCTATATTTTTCCAATACAGGTGTAAACAGACACATTTCCCTAAAAACAAAACAAGACAAAGAGTATTAAAACAGAAACATAAAGTAATAAAAATCATTATCTGTGCACACTATTTCAAAAGGAACCTTTGGCTTTTTAAAAACACAAACCAAAAAGTACAACAGCATCATCAACACTACCACCATCACCAACAATAAACAACTAATTTTCTGAAAGGATTTTCATGCAACAAAGGCTACTGTGATGCACAATAATAACACAGAACCAGTTCACTAACGATAAAGAGCATCAAGTGAGCCTGTTCCAGCCCACACACACATACAACAGGTACGCACAGTAATGGCAGAACTTCTCTGCCGTTTTCCTATTTCTGACCTGCATAAAGCTGAACATGCAGACTGACCCGGCGGTCACTCGGGTATGTGTGTGCATACATGATCTACAACATGTTAGCCCACTTCAAAGTCTAATGACTAACAGATAGTTAAGGTTTAGGCTGAAAAAAAAAATCCCTTCTCAAATTTTTAAATTTTGGCTTCGGTCTCTTCGACGTGTTCAAATTCTACATGAGCGACCTCTGTGCTGTGGTTTCTGGCTCTGTGTTATTTATCAAAGAAGTCATTAAATATACACAAAATGGAAACAATAATCCATCACTTAAGCTTATCAGTCAAAAATTTATGTTATTTACAGATGATCAGGAAAAACCCCCGATCCCATACCACCCCGACCCCCACTCCCCCCCAGATGGTGACATCAAGTATCTGTGACTGTAAGCTGAACGCGAGAACGTGCATCAGAGGAGATTGCCATCACTAGATCTGTTTGCGTGTGTTTACCGGAGTGTCATTTTTGCAAAGTTGTTGATAAACTGAGACTTTTTTTGTAAGATTCTCCTGTAGCTGACTACATTTGAATTAAGTACATAAGGTGACTGCATTGGAGTGACATGACTGCATTGAAGAATCAAGGCACGATCAAAAAGGTATATATATATCTATATATAGATATATAGATATATAAACCAAAAACAACTACATCATGAAGGGAGGAGGAAAACAGTAAACAATAACGTGAACTTCTCCCTCCTGATCCTCGAAAATCTGTGAACACAGCACGCCGAGGAGCAACCTTTGGCTGAACAGTTCATTGTTAGCAATATCCGTCTAACCTCGGAACATAAAAGGTTTGGAAATCGTTCATTATTCTCTCAAACGATTCAATAAAACACAAACATCAAAATTACATAACCAGTTACCATGACATAACTTGCATTGTTTTTGCAGAAGGAAATTCATTGCTTAGACTGTTAAACACTTGTCAAAGGGGTCTCCCGCTAACTGCTCTTTTCAATTAGGATATTCTTTAAAGATATAACACATAGATTGTCGATGCAAACGCATATTAAGGTGTTTAATGTAAACCAAATGCTCAATAATATCTCGTCTAAGCTTCTCCAAACTTACTGAATTTTGTGTTGTGGTTGATTTTGATGTATTTTTTAAAAATCTCCTTTATTGCCCCCCCCCATGCACACAATCGTTCCTCTCCACTCTAAAACGGGCATGTTTCGAAATGCATTTCTTTCTACACACAGTTGCTCCGATGCCGCAAACGCACAAGATCGATAGGAGTTGTTAATATTCATGGCTTCCTTTTCTGCTTCCTTTTCAACCAAGTTCATGTTCTTTGGCATGACAGGTGGTGCTGACTCAGTTGTGTAAAAGGTGTGTACGTCTGCGTTTAGAAAGGGATTGGGAGGATACAGCTGATTTGATCCTTGCGTACTCAGGGTGTCCTTTGATTGATGAGTGCCAAGATAATAAACAGAAACACAGAAAAAAAAAAAAAAAGGAATATACAGTATATGAAGATCATTGGCATAGCAGTCCTAGATTTGCATACAGGCTTTCCTCCAGGGGTTTAAAAGTCCTTAAAAGAGGAGAAGTTTGGGTTGGGGGTGGCCCTCTGATGAGATCGGAACCAAACTCGTATACCTGTACACATATTCTCCAGCCGAATTATTTTATACCAAGGATTGCTGTGAGAGTTTGTGTTTGAGCCTAGTTCAGTCTCGGAAACAAAGAACTCTTGCCATCCAGTTTGTGTTTTATCTAAAATGCTCCAGCAACAGTCTGAGGAGGATTTTTTTCCCTCCTTTCAGAAAGAATAAAGAAAGCACATGCTTAGAAGTACTGAAGATCTCCCTCCATGTCCCTTAATGTTCCTTTCCACACTCTTCAGTTCTGCCATTTCAGTACATGATTCCATGTAGTATTACGTTTCCACTTTTTTTTTTCATAATTACAGATAAAGATTTTTTTTTCTTAAAAAACAAAAAGAAAAAAAGATTGCATTTGTTTTCTGCCCCATTCTGTAATTTGCAAAGGGCTCCTTCCTGGTTCACAGTAGGCTGAGAAATTGCAGCAGTGCTTCTCCGCTTTGGAGGAATGCGCCTGATAGTCGGTGATGTCAGCGAAGGAACCGTAGATCACAGTTTGGACAGGAAATATAGCAACAGCAGCAAGTGAGTGATTTTGCAGAGATACTGGTGATACCTTTCTATTTTTTTTGGCTTTCTTTGCAATGTGTGTGCATATGTATCGTTGTGTGTTAGGTGTAGTGTTTCTGTGTGCATTAAAGGAAATGAGCGTGTGTGTGTGTGTGTGTGTGTGTGTGTGTGTGTGTGGTCGTGTATGTTGTGCAGAACTGATATAATAGTAGGAGTGTATGTTTTTGGTGGTGTATTTCATTGGTGTGGGTAAGGTCAGGCCCTGCGCTCTACTGGCTGTTGCAGACACACTTCACTCCCAGCTGACACAATGGGAAGTCTGTTGTCCATGTGGTAACTGATCAGGTGGCTGACACTCGAAAACCGGTGGTCTTTTGTACGGACCTGAAAAAAGAAAAGGGGAATAAATTAGAGTAAGCTTCAACACCAATATAACCCTCCACTCTGAAATCTCTGTTATGAATTTGATCGTTTCGTGACATACCACTCCTTCTGGGTCAACGAGCAGCAGGTGTTTGGGCTGACCACCCTGCTGTCCCGTGAGGACGTACTGCCCAGGTGTGGTTCCAGACTCCCGCACCAGGAAGTCTCCATCTCGGGTCAACAGTTTCTCTGCTTCCTTACGACTTAGGCTCCCGTGGAACCAGATTTCAGACTGTAATTGCTGCACCATAGAGGGCACTGCTGTCACTGAGTTTGGGCCTCCATGCCCAGAAACCCCCAGGGCATCATCCAGTGGCTCTTGAAAAATGAACACACAGAAATGTATTATTTTGTATTTCACTGTGGATAACATGTTGTCCTGTAGGATCCCATAGCACTGTCTGCATTTCTGCACGACCGATAAATAGGGAAGTGAACCACATTGACTCTGACAGATGCTGCACACAGTTGTGGACTCTGCCGTGAAAAGCTTTATGTAGTCAATCAATAATCTTATACAAATTGCCCCTGTAATGGACAAAGACATTCTAATATCCTTATCTTCCTCTGAGGCTGACTTCTGTGGAGAGCTCCACTGCCAATTAGCATCAGTCATATGGAAATGTAAAATACAAACTGCTTTACTCATCTCACGAGCCCAATGATTAACCCTCTTTTCTTCTCACATGAAAGAAAAATAGCTGATTGCAATTGCCAGAAATTTTGGTCATCTTGATTACAACCCACACACATCACAAATTACCTTTCTTATTTAGTTTTCTCACAGGCTAATGATTTGCACTAGTGTTCAGGATTCAGTCCATTTGAACTTCACTTAGCAGATTTCCAGCAAAAACGCACAAAAAGACACTTACTCATGTCGAAAGCGTCTTTGTGAGCATTTCCGTTTGCTGCAGCTGGGAGGCGAGGTTTATCTACGTTGACGTACGAAGGGTCATCAAACATCTCCCGCCCACCTTCTTTGGCACCCACTAAGAAAAAACAAAATAAAAAAGGAAATAAGTAAAAGTTGCACAAACACAGGAAGAACTTTGCCACGTATTCTCACTTCCTTGCAATTCTAAGAATTTTATCAGGACTAAACAGGGCAAAAACGGAGAGAAAGTTTGACCAATTTCTCATGATTTAGCAACAAATAATATAAAGAAATATGTTAGTAACCAAAAAAGAAAAAAAAAAAGGACAGGAACGACAGATAAAGTCCAAAGAGATGCACACATGCAGGCAGCGACAGAGCTCACCTGGTAGGGGTGGCAGAGGCTGTTTATGAATGTCATTCTGACCCGGCTGTCCATAAGGCTGCAAACACAGAGGGGTACAAACAAATGCTGAATGCGTGCACCATGTGGGCATCCTCAAAAAAATGTTCTTTTCTGGCTAGTGAAATGATTACAATCTATTTATCTATCACTTAGGAATGACACAAGTAATTGATTAATTAATTAATTAATTTTTTTTTGGGGGGAGGGGTATGCTTGTCTTCCTTCTTTCATGTTAATATGCACGGTTCTCACCAGCGTGGCACCAGGCCGGGTCCTCATGTCAATCACTCCAGCAGGGGGAGGCTGTTTTCCAGGGAAATTATTATAGTACGGGACATCAGGAGGCGGAGCAGCCTCATCTTCTTCTTCCTCCCATGCAGAGCCATCAAATGGAGCCATTCTGTCACAGAGAACAGATACAGAAACAAATTATACGAGACAATATGCAAATATAAGCTCTTGGTTTAGGTTTGTGCAAGCGACAGTTACCTGTCATGAGGTGTGACCAGTTTCGGAGGGTTTTTCAGATACTGTTTAAAACGCAGTTCGAAGGCCTGACCAATGGTGCTGATGACTTCCTGGGCTAAACCCTCCGAACACTCCAGGATATGACATGCTGCAATAAGGAGGCACAAAAAGCTGATAAGCGGGCTTCTTTTGAAGGAAGCATGTGCTCCAACATACAAATACGTTCAGATACAGGTAGAATACAAAAGCACGTATGCATGTACATTTTTATTATGTGCGATGATGTAGGACACATGTAGCAGCTCTAATACATTTTGCACACTCTAGTTTTAACTCAGGAAATTACATAAGCAATAGGATGGCTTCTTTTTTTTATAAGCACTGCATGTTAGAACTTTAATGTCAATAATCTAGCCCGAAGATTTTCACTTTCAGTATTAAACAGAGGAGTGTTTTTGCTTTTTCAGCTGAGAAATGAGCCATAAGTTAACTAATTTAGCTTGCAAACAAACTATGGGACTTCAAAAATAGACATTTGGTGGAAAATGTACTTCTGCCTTTTCTCTACACACTGGGTGTGTAATGTCTTAGCTCTAGCGGGGTATTTGGCAAATTCAAAGGGGAATAAACAGCTAATAAAGCTATTTAAGTTTGATTTACTTATATTAAGATTAAATTCAGTTCATACATTAATGAAAATGTTTGGTTATATTTGCTGAAAGTAAAAAAAAAAAGAGGACTAGTTGCACAGTGCAATGAAAGCAACTACTCTAACTCATGTATTAAAGGATCATTTTATCTACACTGGCAGCTGCTACCTTGGTGAGGCTGTCATTTTGCCACTTACCTCTCTGGTTGACTGGATCTTTGGCCACATATGCTACGTACTCAGCTGTATCCTGAGGGAGACCGACAAGGAAGACAGTCAGAATGGGAAAAATCAATAGGAGGGAAAAGTGAAGGGCAGGTTTAGGACAGAAAAGCTAAGAAGAGAATAAGAAGAAAGAGGTAAAGCGAAGACTTTGGTGTTTAAGCCACAGCAGAAGTTAAAAACTTACAGAGCTTAAAGAAAAGAGAGAGAAGATACGAAGTAAAGAGATAATGTCTGGAAAGAGGGACTGCAGTCCAGGCAATCCAGTAAGGCTGCAATAAAATGAGTGGTATTCAGAGCAATAGACAATGACAGAAGGCAAGGAGGAAGAGCATGCTGGCTGAAGAAAGATGGAAAAAGGCGAGAGTGAGATTTCAGCTGAGAAACAGGGTTTGGCTGACTCACTGGGTCTCCTCCAGAGGCGAAAGAGATGGACTGCATGTGATGATTGGCGATTATCTGTGGAGAAAGAGAGAGAGAAAGAGAGAGGGAGGGAGAAAGAAGGAGAGGGAGAAGGAGAGCACGTGGGTGACATGAAGTATGTGGGAAGTGAAATGAAAGCATGTGGATGAAAAGACAAATGTGGAATCATTACTGAGAAAAGTGCTCTTTCCTCCATTGAGCGCTATCAATTGCAGCGGAGATAAAAACTAAGTAGGGACAATGGATGGAACACCTTTTTAACAGTCTGCAACAACCACCCATGTTAGATCAATAACAGCATCAACACTTGCTAATGCTTCAAGCACAGAGTGTGGTCTGTGAGTCCTTAATTGTGATTTGGTATATGTTCTGCATGACATGTTTCTTCGCGCTAATGCGAATGCACTACACCACTGTATACCATCTCCCCAAAGATAAACATCGTGCAGCAGCTATTAACTCATTAGAGGTCTAAGAGGAGGATCACATCCTGCCTTGTGGTAAAGCAGGAATCAAGACAATGGTTAAGAGGGATTTGTGCAGCATCCAGAGTAAATGAGGCAAACAATGAGAAGCAGTTCTAAATATATATCGGGGCATCTCCTGAATATTCCAGGAGGTCACGATACATAATAGATATGGAAAAATACTGAGAATTTCTTTTAAAAAAATGATGTTTATATCACTGAGATTCAACCACCTTTAACATTTTAGTGAACTAAACATGTTTACACCATTAACAAGAAGCTGAAAGCAGTGGGAATGATTACAATGCAACTCTGAAGGCAAAGAATAAAAACATTTAGAATTTTTGAAATAAATCATCTGTAGATTGGTCTTCGAAAGTAAGAAAACATAACAAAATCCACACAAAAATTCCTCAAGCAAAGAGATCCCCAGGTTTTCTCTGCTTCGGTAAACTCCACAGGCTAAGTGCACTCAGGGTACCTGAAAACATGCCCCATAGCTACAACAGAGAGCTCAGACAATCAAGTGTATTTCTGACTCAAAAGCGAGATTACTGGCTTTCAAGGACAGCTCAACGGAATGCCTGGGTAGAGTTTGAGAAAACAGCAGCTTGAGGTTAGAGCTTCGTTCTAACCTGTTTGCAGTCAGAGGCCAGCAGATTGAGGCTGCTGGTCGAGATGGTGAGGCTGATTGTCATGCCTGCAAACTGTAAATTACTCTTTCCCAGGATGGACGTTAGACAGCGAGAAGAAGGCTGCAAAAGGAGAGAGAGCAGTTTTAGTAATAATCAAATCAAGGTGCCCAAACCAAAAAGCAACAGGACGTTTTGTTTTTTTTAAAAATTCAACAAAGCATGATAGTCCACTGAGTGCTCCCTGCCTCAGCATGACTGTGGGCATATGTGTGGAAATGCCTGTGTGTGGGAGTGGGAGAACAGCTGCAATTGTGAAAGTGATCCTGTCTCCAAGGCCAACTGCGACCAATTGGGAATAGACAGGACAGTTCGCATACTGTAGCCTGGGCCAAGAGCATCACACAGACCATGCCAGCACTATTGTGCCAGCATTATTGCGCCAGCACGTTTATCCAAATCCTCCTACTGTTCTCATGGCTTTCATCCATATTTGTTCCAAAATGTTTAGAGTGTGCAGTGAGAAAAGCAGGAGCAACAGGACAGGAAGCACATGCTTGGCCACATTAAACTAGTCCTGCCAAATCAGAGGCACTAGACTAGTTTAATCTATTCTAGTTTATATCCTATAACTGTATTTTGTCTGCTGTGCTATACTGTCAGACATTCCTTGGTCAAACCCTGCTACAGCAGCTGAATATAGCCACCTGTTTTATAGACTGTTTGGGTGGATGTTTTTAGGTTTACAGGAATACTGTGCACAGACACTCGCAGTCTTTAAACAGCAGACTGGCGGCTGTGTCTGCTAATCTGTTGTGCTCCTTTGGCCTGACGCTGGCTCCACACAAGCTTCTACTCCACCTCTCCAGCCTCCCTTGTGACAACAGGGAGGGAAAAGAGAGATCAGAGAGTGACTGGTAATTACCTGTGAGTAGTCGGCTAACCACAGAAGTGTACAATCAGCCCAAATCAAGATTTGTGTGTGTATGTGTGTACTTGTAAAGCTATATTTGACAGAATCACTGACTTTTAGATCACTGGAGGAAAAGTGGGGACATTTCGGTTGGTCCTGATTTTTGTGTGTAGGTTAAGGTTACAATTAGGTTTAGATTAGGGATAGGCTCTTCTATGAAGATAAAGAGGCAAGGGAATGGATTAAGTCAGTGAATGTGCTCATAAAGATAGCCAAACAATAAATGTGCATGTGGTCCAGCTATACTCACGTTTTGGGGACCTAAATCAGTTAACAAAGACACATTATGGAAAAAAAGGAAGTGCCAAATGTGTAATGTTTATAGTTCAGGATCAATGTCATAACAAATAGGAAAAACTCCAGGTTATGAATGCAACTTAATGTAATGTCCTCTAAAATCATGTATACACGGCTCTTTGTGCATTTGTGTGTATACATGAGACTAAATAGCCCACTGACCACAGGGTGGACAACGGAGCTAAATCTAGCTCTTATCCAGAAAACTCTTCATAACGCTGTCCACTTAAGTCTTATAAATAAATAATGCTCTGTATGGGTGTGTGCTCCTGTATGTAGCGCCTACCTTTCTCCTGCGGGCTCCTTTGGCACCGGGTACTGCCTCACACACCACAGAGATAGCTTCCCTGAAAAATGAAAAACATGCATGTTTGCAAATGGCATGTAATTGACCTAAACACCTTCCCAGATTCACATTTATGGATATTAAATGAGATCTGGCAGCGGGTGATAGAATTTATCGTCCCTGGCGACTGGGCTCGTCTTTGCCACGGAGACAAACATCATTGCGGAAACCAGATGGAAACCACCAGGATTCCAGAACATTCTAATTTGGGGGCTCTGAGAGCGGCAGGCGTGTACATGCAAACACACACGGGCAGATGTAGTCAGATGCTAAAACAGAAAGAAAACAAGCCCCGCAAGAAAAATGGAGCGGAAGCGAGCGAGCGGGCAAAGGAGTAAATGCGAGGTGAGTGATGTATGTGTGAGCCATAACATTTTTCAAAGTGTAACCACACTTTTAACATCTCGCCCCCTCAGAAACAAAGCAGAAATGAAACGAGTGAAAGGTCAAACCTGCAGCCGATGAGCTGTGTGTAATCTCACCTGGTGACCTGAGTTCTGGTGTTGAAGTCCAGCGCCCGCATTGATTGTAGCACCTCCACGCATCCCATGTACTGCCCAGGAAACAGGAAGGCAAAACATTAACATTAGACATTTCCTACATCCTGGTCCCATTGGACCAAGGGAACACAACAGAGGAAGAAAGCAACAGTATCCTTTCCTCATTACAGACTCAGTTTCTAAAAATGAAGGGTTTATATGTACACAAAAACAGCTTGGCAAGGGTGACGTGCAACTTTGCATTTAAGCTAGAGGCTACTGAGAATGTGCCAGTCACTTACCCGTACACTGTAGGAAACACCAGTGGTGCTGACCACATTGTCTGAGTGCAGCCAGCCACGGGTGGGCTTGTTGACAAAGGAGCCATGGCGCGTCCACTCGTCTCCTCCCAGCTGCCCTCCTTCCACCCGTGCCCTCCTAGACACCCCTCCTAGCCGGTTCATGTCCTGCAGAGGAGGTCGGGGAGGGGGAGAAGGAGCAGTTAGAAGCGAAACAGGGTGATGAAGTGGTGGGGAGGAGCTAGAGTTGCTCCTGTCATCCCCAGAGGACTCAACAGGTGCCTGAGGTGCCTGAGCTCCCTGTGATTTGCTTGAGGCCTTGAGTCCTGGGAGAAGAGTAGCTGAGACACCCAGACGAAGAGAGCCCATTCTGGGGAAGAAGGAGCAGAAGGTGGTGGGGCTGTTCTCAGCTTGTTGGGGAGAGGAGGGGGGCAAAATGGGAGTGAGAGATGAGGAAGAGAGAGAGGAAGGTAAGCCAGGGGAGGGTGTGAGGGGGGTGACAGGACTGGAAGGAGGAAACGATGATGGATTGGAGTTTGTTTCGTCAGTTGAGCTCAGTGATTCACTCCGAAAATGGGTGTATTTTGTTTTCTCCATAATGAATTGAATCATAATGAATCTGCAGTGTCAGTTTTTATATCCGTGCAAGTCCACACAGGCTCTTGTGATTCAAAGTCTCTTTGTCTCAGTATTCAAAGTTTTTCTCTGAAAGGACAAACAGCCATCTGTCTGTCTTGCTCAGTGTAAGAGCTGCATCCATCTGTCTGGTTGTGTGTCCTCCACTTGTTTCCAGGCAGCCAAAACCCAACTGCTTTAAAAACGGCTTTATCCACAATGAAAGCAGTATGAGCAAAAGCACAGAGGAAACGTTGGGTGCCCCAGTTAATGGTAAAACACAGACAAAAAAAGCTTTTTAGTGCACCAGTGCAGCTCATGTTGTCATGAGTTCATTTTGAAATTTACTTGAGTGTTTTCTGAGTTCCCAGGAACTGATGAATAGCTTCTTAGCTGTCCACAGACTGTTGCTCTTGGTGTTTTGCCATGATGTAAAACAATATCTGTGACTATCTTGTCCCAACTTAATAGCCTCTGAGTGAGGCCCAGTAATTCAGCTGTCACCAGCACCATGAAGAATCAGCACAAGTGATTGTCTCTCTGAACACCCCCTCATGTGTATGTCTTACTGCTCTGGGGGGTGCGCATTTCTATGTGATGTGTCTACATGCATGAGGCAGTATAAACCTTGCCGGCCTACAATGCTTCTTTGATTATCTGTGTATGTTCGTGTTGGCATGCGCTTGTGCGTGCACGTGTGAAGCAGCTCCCCTTGGCAGCTCTATCCTGCTTGACACGGGCCCATAAAAATCCTATTAGCAGCCAGAGAGGGGATTGCAAGGAGGGCCGTGCACGCTAACGCGGCAGCGACGCACACATTATACACAGCCTCAACTGGTCGATACGACAGCAAGCACCTGCAGAGCTCAATGAAGCCCAGAACTGCTAAAGAAGAGAGAGGAGGCTTACTGATGTATGGCTAGTCTCCAACTCTTGGTAGCAGCACACTTTCTTTAACGCCTACTTTTCACTCCCTCTCTCTCTTCCTCCAAATGCTTTCATGTCCTCTCTGAATGGCCCTCGCTCTCTCTCTCCCTGCTTCTTCTTCTTCTTCTCTTCTCTTCCAGATTACCTCTGGCGCAGGCGCCTTCCCTTTCTCTGAACTCTTTCCTCCCTTCTCTCTGTCTCCTCTCTTATCCTGGAAGTCTTCTCTCTTCCTCCACACTATGTGCTCCGCCAGCCTCTGTCTCTCCAACGCCTCCGCCCTCTCCCGCGCCACCACTTCCTCTCTCCTCTTCCAGATGATCTCTCGCTCCCCCTCTCCCCCTCCCTCGTCTGCTCGCCCGTTCTCCAGGCTGTCCCGTTTAACAGTCCCTCAGTTGAAAAAAATTAATAAAAATAATATTGAGCCCTGTCTTTCTGCTTCCCTTAGCTTTAGGATTATAGATGGTTAAAGGCTAGGCATGGTAACCTTTGACACCAACAGAAACCCTAAAGACAAAAAGTGAAGTACTTAAGACTGCACTGGCAGAGTTGAATCTGTTCCTGACTGATGTTCCTGATATGGCTAAAACAAGTGAGCCTGTCTTGTTTCAAGTGTGTTCCCTAAAACTGGCCACATAGGGTGTTGATTTTTTTCTTCCTGGAGCACCATTAGATAGCGGTAGTTTGAGTCTGAGATGCTGCCTGTGTCTGGTACACTGACACACACTGCAGTAGCACGGTGGTGATGTAACACTGAAGAATGTAGGTCATTGGCTGATAACAACTACCGGTGGTCTTGTTGTGATGGTAATGAGACCTGATTGGTCAGGTTTGAACTCCCAACCCAGGGTTCCCTGAATGGTGCTGAGGCTCACCAGTGTTCAACATGTAGTCACTCGCCCAGCTGGAAATGCTCAATCAAAACTGCTGTTAGGCTGATTTCTCTATGCACGGCTGTTCTCACCCTGTAACTTTATTACGGCCTAGTTCAAATAGCAATCGCAGAACAGAGTTATTTACCTGAGAGAAAAATATTGACACTGTCACAGATGATATGAACGAGCCAAGAGTTATATTCCTTCCTTATCTAAGGCAGGGCTTATCAAGCAGCAAGTAAGCTCTCTCTACTGTACAGACACCATCTCACATCTCATAGTCTGCATAGTCCAATCTAGAAGGCAAACAACAGTCTGTTTACATTAACAGTCTCTCACAAACCGGAGCCCTACAATTAAAACAGTCTGCAACAGTTTGACCTCAGTAGGAGGCAAAGCTACACCTACAGTCCAGCAGTAAACTGGCTGGCTGACCTACAACTTAGTGCTGCTGAGGCACTAGTCATACTTACAATCTGTTGACCTTTGCTCGCTCAAAGGAGAAGGTTTACACCCACCTTTTCCACAACACATACAAAAGTCTGTAAAAGTGGCACCAGCGTTTCAGTAATGCCAAGCAAAAAAGGTTGATTATTTATTTCCTCCTCACACTAAGATTTCAGAACTTCATTCTGCCTGAAGGACAGCCCGCAAGCTGGTGGTGGGCGCTCAATGCATGGCAAAGGAACAGTCGCCTACACCAGTCTAGCACCACAGAGGGATTGTCTAGCAATTCTAGCTAGTCATCCATCTGGTCTTGGCCAGAAAGCACCATGGAGGATCCAGTCATACTTATGAACTGCAAGACAGGCTGGGACGATCTCCAGAAAGCTGTAAAGCATCTAATAAAACCAGAACTTAGTCCGTAGAGATGAATAGCACTTAAAAAGGCAAACTATTCAACCTCAGTAGACTTGCTAACACTGGAGAGAAATTCAGGTGCTGTTAAAAAAAAGGGAGCTGCTGAAATGCTCTATGGGCAGAGTTAACCCTGGCTCTTCCCAGGGATGTTTTAGTGCACCGAACACAGTGTAGGTCAGGTGACTGCAGAGGAGATGACCCTCTACAGGAAGAGAAATCCTGAGTCACCTAGAGACAAACAGCAAAAGGAAAAGGCTGTGACAAACACAGCTAATGACTGGTAATTGGTGGCCTTGGGGCCACGCAGCTGTGATATGTACAAGTGAAATCAGCACTGTAATCTAATTCATCCAGTCATTTCTGATAAGAGCGCATCAGTTTGACTGATGGAAATGGTAGTTGTCATTAATAAATGTGAGATCGGGACAGGCTGGACGGAGATGAGTCGTACAAGGCGAACACGGAGAATTGGGAGGGGGAGACAGGTGACCTGAAACAACCCTGATTCCCGGAGCTTGCCGAGCTCCGCAAAGACAAGGACTGTCTAGTAGAGAAGAAGGGAAACAAAAACTCTAAAAACTGACACAAACAATGAACTAATCTTGTTTTATCAAGTAAATATATACAATTACCAAACGGCACAGCACCAGTTTAAAAAGATAGGACAAGGAAAACCAACTTTACATCTTGTTCTGTCTGCAGCTGCTGCCCGTTGCTATGGCAACAGACATTAAAAGAGATGCCTGCAGAGGATATATACTGAGAAGTCCTGACAACAGCAGAAATCTTCAGACAAAGAGATAACCGCTTTGTCAAATCACATTGCAAGCAATTAGTAGCTCCATCAAAGGCTCCACATTAGAGCTCTTTTTTTTCATCCAACAGGAGAAAAACTACAGACTCCTAGAAAGATCAATATGGTTCAGGAAATGATCAAAGTTTGGCCGGCATCCCGCCAGCCATAAAACCGAATCAATGTTGACATCCGATGTCGGTCGCTTGCACCGACTCCGACTAGGGCATGTAAAACTGACACTGTTTTCAAAGAATAATAATCTATTTTCTAATAACTGTATAAACAAGAATTTCACCAAGAATTAACATCAAAAAGACAACTCATGTTTAGAAAACTTGCATAAAAACAACCTGAATATTCTGTGCAGCAGCTAACAAAGATTAGAATGATTGTATAACATCCTGCAGAGTAGATCCTACGCTCATGAAGGATAGGAAAAGAAAATAGAAAATCACAAAGGGAGTCTGTATTTCCAAAAAAAGAAAAGAAAAAGTAATTAAACTGTTCTGTATAAAGTGAGTCTTATCGATTTCCCTAAGTGTTTTAATGAATGGCAAAAAAACAAAACAAAAACCGAAGTAGTTCCTTTTTTGGTTTATAAAGTATGCAATTGATAATCCACGGTGATTCTCCTAAAGCTAGGTTCCGTATTCACATAAGAACCACATTAATGTTTAAACGGCCACAGCTTGTCCGATCATTCGTCCTCTCCTTCCTCTTCCTAGCTTTCCCTTCGTCCACTCCCCGAAAAACGTGCTTCTCCTCTGATCCGCTCTTCCGCTCGATTAATTCACAAAGTCACTGCCGGCAGCTCCTCTCCATCTATCCTCTCCTCCGTTTGGCTGCCTCCTCTTTTCGTCCCTCCTCTCACTCTCTCTCTCTCTCTCTCTCTCTCTCACTCTTTCAGCAGATGGTGAAATGGCAGTGTTGCCAGGATGGATGATGGTAGTCCTTCATTGTGCTCCTCTTCTCCCCTCACGTCTGTCTCTCATCCCCACTTTCCTTCCACCTCTGTCTGTCTGTTAGAGGCACAAGCACACTGTCTGTCCTCCCCTCCTCCCTGTCTGGGTGGGTGATGCTGCCTCCCATTCTCAGTCTCTCTCTTTCATACACACACACACAACCGCGCCACAGCCTGTGCCCTCCCCACCTTCTTTTCTCCCATGCTACCTCCTTCCTGTTTCCTTCCCTTCCCCCCACCTCCTCTCTGCAGCCAGAGTCATTTAGCAGTATACATGTGTATGCACAGAAAGATGCTGCACTTCTACTCAGAAATGCACACACTCCAAGGAGAGATGGAGATGGGGATGGGGAAGGAGGAATGAAGGGAAGGGAAGAGAAGGGAAGGGATGGTGGATACATGTGTTTGTGTGTGCATGTGGAGGGTGGGCTGTTCATGTTGGGTATTCAACGCTCCTCCCTTATTCATGTTTGGTAACCTGAGAAACACAGTTAAAGAGTGAGGGGAAGAGAGTGAGAGAGAGAGAGGAAGGATGGATATAGATAGCCTCTGTGTGCTGTGACATGAGGTCACTCTATATAACCTTGATAAAAGTGGACAAAGTGAGGGGAAAAAGGAAAGCAGACTGCACTCGCATGATGATAAATATTTCCAATGTTACTACATGACTACAGCACTCTAGGGGAAAAGACTGGAAGACATAAAGCAGAAATCCCACAGATTGGTCTTGACATTTGAGCGCATCTGATGAGAAGGCAGTGTTGCGGAAAGTAGAGGAAACCACACATAGAGTGACACAGGAACCCGGCAGAGTGGATAGCAGAGTCCTCAAATGACACCCCAAAGAGTCCCCGCAGTACCAATTTTCACCACTACACCATCATTGTGAGCTCAAGCAGTGCACTCAAGGATGTGAAGGTTCATAATGAGACAACTGCAGACAGCTAGCATTCGTCATCATACACAGTGATCTGATTGGTAGTGATGGGCATGATTGGCGAAGAAGACACCCTCCACCGCCCAGAACCAGCGAAACACACGATACACTGTGGCTTAGGGTTGACCTAATCGAACATTTTGTGCTCCCTTATTAGATTGAGTGAATTAACAGTTCAGGTGCCATCTTGAATTTACATTAAAAAGATAGCAACCACACTGAGCTGACAGCTTATTCAGTACACCCAACTAAAACTCATTGTACGATCTACTGTACAATATAAAGCACCTTGAGGCAACTGTTGTTGTGTTTTGGCGCTAGATACATAAAATTGAATTGAATTGAAAACTACTGCAGTTCAGCCAGTTTCTTCTCCATGGAGCCGCAACCTCCAAAAATAACCAAACATATCCATCTGAAAATATAGATATGGGTTTTTTAGCTCATAAAGGTACGATTTATCTCACAGCTTCCAACTGCATTTGTTTTATTTGGGTGCAACTAATAAACTGCAGAGGAAGTAAAGTTAACATCCCATTCAAACCACAATAAATTTACATGCACAGGGCTGTACAATTACTGAAGCACGATTTCAAAATGACTTTAGTTTCCAGTTCTTTCTTGCAGGTGAAAACTTGTGCAATATTAAAGATAGCAAATGAGGAGTAAAAAAGGAGGGGCGTGTGATTTTTCTGCATCACACTGTACTGCTTCTTAGAAGGCTGCGCTTTGTTGAAACATCTCTTAAATAAGGTTTTTGTTTTATGTTGCATATGCTACTTGGAAACCCTTTTAAATGGGTCAGAGAACATTCCAGTTTGTTTCATATCAAAGCCTGAAACGTGACACTTTCATAACGCTCGATTATAATTTCATGAAAATGGAAAGGAGGCATCTTAATTGGTGAAATATTGCACACCAACTACAATCACTCTTGTGTCCACAGTATCTTTGAGAGCAATTTTATTTTATTCTTGGTGTAATTGTGCAGCCCTGAAATTACAGTGCTTTAACAAATAATGCTTATTTTACACATATGCCCACCAGGGCTGGATGCGAGAGTCTGTTCATTTCTATATCATATCAGAAATTTAGAAGCAGCAACTCCTTTGCCACTGTGGCACGATGTGTTTTTTTGATCAGCTGCTTGTATCATTTTAATGCCTTACCATATATTCCATCGGCCAGCACAGGCAGCGTGTGAGTCTGTAGCCCTAAAAACACCAAGGTGCACATCAACACACAGTACACAAAAGCATACACAGTCGCAGACAAGCACACACGCACACAAATCAAAGAGCAAATTACAGCGTGCTCCAACCAGCGCCCTTGCAGCCACTTGACTTCCAGCATGCTTTGCTCCCAGCATCAGCTGTGGAGAGAGTCATGGGACCTTCTTCATATCGAGCACACAGACACACAACACTGACACAGGGAAGAGGCCGGGCGATACTGAGAGGGATAAAGTAACGGAAAGCGAAGGAAGGAGAGAGGAAGAGTGAAAGGAGAAAGGCAGAAATCCGCTGTGCGTGTTGAAACATACCCTGTGGAATGAAAAGAATCAACTCATAGGACTGCATGTGTAGGTTGTTTGTGTTTCAGCTTGCCCAGCGCGAGTTAGCAAGTGTGAGTTTAGGTGTTCTGCGCCTGCAGAAGTCTGTGGAAACTGCAGCTAGTCAGTGTTTATTAGATGAAACAGTCGGAGACAGACTAAGAAAGAGCTCTGGATCTAATGCACACGCTGCAGGGCCACATCTGCAGTCTGCTCATACACTGTATGTGTGTGTGTGTGTGTGTGTGTGTGTGTGTGTGTGTGTGTGTGTGTGTGTGTGTGTGTGTGTGTGTGTGTGTGTGTGTGTGTAATGTGATTTGACCCACCTCACTTATCCTTATTTGAACTAGTCAAAAAAAATAAATTAGCAAAGATGAGTAAACAGGGCCTCGATGCTGACATTTTCTCTTGGATTCTTGCCAGAGATGCTGACTAACATCAATTCCCATTATCAAGGCAAGACAGACAAGAGTCGAGTAAAGAATGAACAATAGAAGGGAGAGAGGGAGGAAGCGTAACTCACACGGGAAAGTCTCAAACGTAAACACAAATAAGCAGGCACACTGGAAAAAGGCAATCAAACTTTCAAAAATTAGGCTGACGGTGAACATTAGATTAGCCACGGCTTCAGCAGGAGTACTTTCTCTCGGCTTAGTAGCTCACTACGCACACAGCAAACATGTGAGCTGGCTATTTTGGGTTGTGCTTCCACCACCACCACCACCCCTCCTCTAACCACACTCCCACATCTCTATCTCCTTCCATCATTCTTTTCCTGCCACCACTTACTGCTTTGCTCCACTTACGACTTCCACTTACAACTTCCTTCTCGGTTTAACGGCTTACTTGTCAGAAACTGCGGTGTTTCTACACCGAGGTTCCAGCTGAACCTTTGAACATTGTCTGGCGTAACCTTTAGTCCTCCGTAGCAGCAAGTATCGAAATTCTTCAAGGGTTCAAGTTCGCATGAAATACTTGGGTCAGGGTTTTTTTTTTTTACACAAACATACGTTTCCGGATTTAAGTCATAGCTGTGCAAACTTTGTGCAGTTTGCTTTTGCTCAATTAACAAAAGTTCTGATCACACAGCAAACTGGGGTGAACATCTGAAAGCGAAGTGCAAACGCAATTTGATTCAAACTTTTTTTTACTGGACAACCACACCACTTCACCCATTAAGACTGTGTCATCTAATTTAAGTACATGTTGCTGAGTCGCTGCTTTTACTGTTATTTTAACAAGTTTCCAAGTCGATTTATTTTAGTGCTGTGTCTTTAAACATTGCTTCATGTCCAAGTGTATCTGAATAATGTTAACCAGTGGCTTCTGAAAAGTGCATGCTGAGGAGCGGATACACAGAATAATCAACGCTACAAAACAATAACAGCTAGGAGATTTTAACTTGACCCTAAAGTGACCCTAAAGAGTTACTTCAATACTATTAACACTAAGCTGAAGTAAGATGTGGGATCATTCCATCTAAAAACATCACATTTTCTGCTCAGCCACCTGTGATTTGCCTGAAAATGTTACAGTTTAATTCGGACATAAATGTGTGATTACTGGGAAATGTTAACCTTGCAAAAGACAACTGGTGCACATTTCTAAACGTTATATAGCTGTATTCCACAATAAGATCAATTAAAGATGCAGAATCCCTTTTAAAATGCAATTACTACTCACCGAAATGAAGAAAATGCTATTTTTATTCAGATTTTGTGATGATTGATCAAATATGATAATTATGTTAAGCTGTACCTAGCAGAGAGTCTTCCCCAGATAGTACAAAATTCTGGAGTTTCTTGGAGTACAAGAACTTTACTTAAAACTGAGAAAATAACTGTTAAATATATACATATTTAGCCTGCTTTGTGGGCATGAACATTCAGGCTTATCATTATGCACTTTAAAATATACTGAAGACCTCCGGTGAAGCGAGCCTGAAGGAATCCTGATCTGCAAGAAGAGACACCGTTTGAAAATGCAATCTCAGCTTTCTGAGTAAAGAGAGACAAACCACAATAAAGACACAAACAGACTTTCAAGTTAGATACGTGGCACCACAGAGTCACTCTGCTGTAAAGCGCTGCATATAAAAATGCAACAACCAGAGTCTCATACAGAATTCAGAAAAACCATCAGCAGCCATCACGCTGCTAATGAAATTCCGCCGAAGCTGCACTAACTTCTGTTTTTTAGCATCGCACGGGACGAGATGTTAATCAAACTGTGGCTCACGCAGTGCGCTGAGCACGTCGCGCTAGACTGAGCACCGCAGGAGGAAACGCAGCTGAGACTCGGCTCTATTGTATGAAGGCAGTGACGGACAACCACATGCTATGGCCTCAAAAACAAACTCCTACAGTTGGTTTCCAGAATGCGCTCATACACACCAGGAAGTAGAAAAAAAACGCGAACAAACAACCCCCCTCCCCACATGGTCGGAGAGACAGACAGATAGAGTACATGAGCCAGACAGAAGAAACCTGAGAAAAACACATCCTCACAGGTCAAGACACCCACACAAAAAGCGTATGTCGACAGTCTCGAAGTGTTTATAAGTGTTTATAAGAGCTTAGCACCTCAGCACTGTGTTTTGTCAATAGTGATGCACCACAGGCCGAAATCCAAGTCTAATATCTGCGGTAATATTTGCACTGCTGACAAAAATCGAATTCTTTATTTTTGAATTGGCTGTGCGTCTGAGACGCACGGACTCCGTGCACAGCTGTCAAGCTGAAACCGCTGTAACAATCAAGTGTCACACCTCCCGTCAATCAAGGCGAAGGCTTTTACCGGTGACCGAGGGGTTTGAAGGGAATTGGACAGATCCAATTTTAATCAAGTGGATTTTGGTTTACGTTGGAGTGTGATGGAGTGGCCGAGGTGCTCGACTTTGGCTGACAGTTTGTGTCCCAGACTGTCCTCCTGCCTGTGCTGTGTTTGTTTACGTGGGTCTAAGACGCACACGGCCTATTTGTCAGGCTCCTGACATGTGTCTGAATCTACCGCTTCTTGGGATCAGATGTTGACTGGACCTTCCCTCGGCCTCCATTTCATCGGTGGAGATAACTTGAGTCATATAATATCGTGTCAGCGGCTGCTGGTCTGAGCGGTATGGTTGACCCTGATAACAGCACTGAGCCCACTGCTTTCAGCTACCTCAATCACAGCACATAGCCTTGAGTCTGCTTCTATAATAGTCTGTCTGCCCTTCACTTGTTTACCGCAAACTTTAACTCTGTCACACTGACCCTGTTTTACACATCTGAGGTGCGTTTTGGTGACCGTTCTCCATGGATGCGCACAAAAGGGGTAACATTAAGTAAGCTTTTTTTAATGTCTGACTTTGTACAGATTTGCGAGTGGGTTCGTGTGTGTACTGATAGCTCCTAAGGCTTATCTCACTGACACTTTATAGCCTGAAGCAAATCAGGCAGATTTCAGCAAAGCCAGGACAGGCTTTAGTCCCTAAAGCAAAAATAAACACAAATTTATTAAATAGTGAAGGAGTAGTGAAAAGTATCTTTCATAATAATCTCCAATGTGATGGGGAAAAAACTTGTTCTGGGTGCAAGAGTCCTACACCTTTTTTTTCCGCTTTTATACAAAAGAGGGAAAGTAAGAAGGTTGGAGAAGACGACAGCAGCAAAAAGTTGCCCCTTTATACCAAAAAATGTCCTCAAATAACTGTCTTATTTTGCTCAGGTCTAGTTTGAGTTTATTGGCGCCTCTTAAAAAGAAATGGCATGTGAGTGACCTGCTTTCTGTTGTTTTTGCTCGTCCAGAGGACACAATGATGACTTCTGATCACTTTCTCTTATAAACATTTTATCAGAGGCTCCAACAACAGCTCACTTAGGTTTCAGGTTTTAATAATAAAACCTGGCAACACACACACAAAGTTTGAAAGCACAAAGTTAAACATTTAGTTAACTCGTGCACGCCCCAGTCTAACCATTTACATATTTCTTACAGTAACCCAACAGGCTCGACTGCACCGTGGCGTAACATAACAACGAAACATTGAATTGTCCGGCAGAACTATGTGTCCCCACAAATTTAGCACATAATCAGTTTCCTCACACTTTTCATACGTGCTATAGCTGACGCACAGCACGCAGAGACCGCACCATGCCCCCCCAAAAAGTGTGGGCAACTTTAACGAGCAACTTACCAGCTCTGTTCCTCCCTTTCCCTTGAATGCCCCTCCTGCCCACCAAGCTCTGTTGCTGCTGTTGCACAAATTTCAGCTTAATTTCATATAACAGGGCAAAGGGTCGAAAGTTTTGTCCGCCGGGATCCTTGTATATTTGATGCTTAACTTCTTAAAAGAAGACTCTAAACTTCTTCTTTCCTCTCCCTTTCCGTCCCTGCCTCCTCCCCCTACCTCCCCCTCCACGATCACGACAGAAGTCACTTCCGCGAACAACGCAGCGTCATCCGGCTCCTCTCTCTCTCTCTCTCTCTCTCGCTCTCTCTTTCTTTCTCTTCATTTCCCCCACTCCCGTGCGAGTGTGTGCGTGCGTACGCGCGCGCGTACCATTTTGCACCTGGACCACTCAGTGTAGGTTGCGCAAAA